TTGGTCCTCCTAGGAGGCTGGTTCAATGGGGGCTGCTGAGCAGCGTCCTTTAAAGACGCAGACTGGCAGCGAACGCAGCTGCTGAGGCGTTCAGGAGCCGTGGGAAATTATTATTCGTAGAATTCGACGAATTTCTGTTGGTGGTGTGTGGCGCTGAAAGCGCTCAAAGCTTTGTGAGGATACGAAGGTGTTTTTCCCACTTTACAAAACTTGCAACATTATATTGTGACATTATGTCTGGTCCAAGTTTGACGGTGAATATTTATTTTCACAGCAGTGGCAGAGCGAGAAAATGTTCACAGGGATGGGCTGACATGGGCGGTTCTATACAGGGGCCTACAGGGGCTTGTGCCCTGTAGTACTGATCCTGACACCAACCCCCAACCCCATAATACATATATACTGAAAAAATACTGAGAATATATGCTAGAACAAACGCAGTGTTTGATGGCCCTCTTGGACCAATTTCATTGGTTCTTTACAACTCTGCGTAAACTAAGGCTTAATTATGATTAAGGTGAGAGCTCCAGTTGTATTGAGATACTGTCAGTTTTCATCTGCTAAATGTTAATTTAGACCAAATTTTATTAAAAAAACACTCAAACTTGTTTCATCTAAATGTATTAGGTTTACTATTAGGTTTCATCATTTCATTTACACACTGCTGCGGTGTTAGATCTTTACTCCAATTAAGTTCTTTTAGCCATAAAAACAACAAATGCCTCTACTGCCTGCTTTGGCTCTTAATGGCCTTAATCAGGCAACTGGCCTTGAGTTTGATAACATTTGATCTTTCCTAATCACATTATACCAACAGAAAAATGAACGAGCACAACATCTATATCTTCCAGATAAAACACCCAAGGCCTTTATCAATAGATTACACACTTATTTACACACCAATTTATTTCACCATCATTTAACTGGTATAGTCTAATTGAGATTATATGTCATTGCCAAGAGGCAGGATCAAATAAGACACAAGCGAAAAACACAAAGATATAATTAAAAGGAAAACAAAAACCTATAAAAATATGCTGTCATAAAAAACTTCCTAATACTGACTGAATTAATCTTTCTGTATAATATACACATTAAATGAGTTAAGCAGTAGCCTTCACTTCTTCCTTATAAAACCTAAACACAAGTTCTGTAAAGTGTTTGTCATCTTTAATGTTATTATATTGATGTGCACAATGATTAGTTTGTGTATTTTCTGTAAGTTTAATACAAACAATATGTCAAATTAATCAGGAACGCCCACTTGAGAGTATCACTACAGCCACTCTCTGTTTAAGAAGGAAAAGCTTGTTCAGGAAGGAGTGAATTACATGAACATGAGATTAACAAATCACCTGGTGGGGGTTGAGGGGGGCACAGTGCTGCCCACCCTCTAGCTCCGCCTCTGTTTCAGACTCATCACAGAGGAGCAAGAATTGATCTACTATATGAAAAGCTTCTCAAACACATCAAAAACTCTGAAGTCAATCATTGTTGATGTGTTTTACAAGGAGCACAAAAGAGAAAATTCCTCCATAAAAACATACGTACAGACCCAGCAGTCTGCTGCAGATTAAGAGGCAAGGCTGTCCAGCTGCCAGTGGGGGGGACATCTATGTGTCCCACTCTGAGTGCAGGCTTCAAGTATGGGTTTCATCGCCGTTCATGTGGAGAGGAAATGCTGTCCATCTAACAGACTTGGCCTATGCTACTATCTTCCATCAATGCTGTGAGTTTTAGGCCACGCCCCTTTAGTTCCACAACATCAACATGATACTGTGAAAGCATGACCCTATAATCTCCATGAATCAAATAAACTTAAAGGTTTATGGCTGAGTGTGAGTGTGTGTGAGTGAGATCTGTAATATGTAAGTGTAAGTTTCAAAGTGTTAATTAATATTAACATTAATATATTGGCAGCCTAATGGATTAGCTTTTGTTGTTTTTCCTGCAACCTCTCTGTGTACATATATTAAGCATCTGTTAGTAGATCAGTTATTTTGCATGTTTGTTTGCTTTCTTTGCAGGTTTAACAGTCATGGGGTTGCAAAAAATAATTACCAAACTGGGAGTGCTGCAAGCTGGGCATGGACACTGTTGGGCTGGGATGAGGCCAGCATGCACAGCCTCCCTCAGAAAAGATCTGATGACCAAGCTGGCAGGACCGATGAGTTACGCTGTAATGCCAAGGATCACACCACCGTATTAATGAATTCTGATGCTCTGATCACTTCCATAGTTGCATGTTTTCAAACTTTGGTGTGAAGATATCTGGCCTGAACTCAAGATACCGTAGTTAGAATGCATGCTGCAATTCTAGAAAGAATGACTGCAGACCTTCTAGCCAGCAGTTCATTTGCAGAATTCTTTGGCTTTTCTGTCACGTATTTTAGATCTACACTTTGCCAATCCAAAGAACAACACACTCTTCTTCGACTAGAAATTCAACAGAAAATTAGATTGGTGAACCTGACGAAGTGCCTGTGATCATGGGTGGTTCTAGACTGGGGCAAAAGTTGAAATCTTGAAGTCAATTTTTTTGTTACAATTTTGAGTATTTCCCTCTCATTTGAGTAAGTTAGATAATGTTCCAATAGAAAATGATATGATGTCAAGAGAATCACATGCAATTATCTTTTTATAAGGAGAAAAATAAAAACTCTTTGAAGATCATGTTATTCTTCCGCTCAAATTAAGTGCAAATACACTTATTTTAAGAAATGTTTGCTTTTTTTAAAACTGTTTTTGCAGTGTAATATTACTGATTCTGATTCATCCCTTGGACCAAATAGTATTTCCCCTTTCACAACTCAGTTTAACAATAATTTAGGAATTACAGCCAGGTTCTAGCTTCACTCGTATTAAAATAGGATCACAGTCTGCATACTTTGCTTTGTGACTCAATAATATATTAAATGTTGCCCTTTTGTCCAGTTTTTATATTTACATTTTTTTTCTTTTCTACCCCCATAAGAAAACACTGACCCCTGGCAACCTTGGCACATTTTATGTACCGGTAGAACCATCCTTTCCATGATTCCCCTTAAACTATTGCACCCTGGGTAAAGAGCCAACTGACTTACGTCATTTCTCGGTACTGTATTAAAACAAAGCCTAACTCTGATTAAAAAAAAAAAAATATATATATATATATATATATATATATATATATATATATATATATATATATATATATATATATATATATATATATATATATATATATATATATATATAACTTTAGCTTCAGTAAAACAATATAGGTGAAAACCAAGGTCTAGAATTTGATGGTTGAAGTTTTCACTATCTGCACACAAATCTCACCTCATGTTCAAACCAGAAACAGGAAGTGACCATGATACACCTATACAGTTCCTTCTATTTTCCCTCATGATTAAACTTACTTTTAATTCAACAATTATTATTTTGCATATGGACTTAATTTGTGTTCCATTATGCAATATGCACACTAAGTAATACTTATGTAAATAGGGGTAATAGACCAATTTATTATTCTTCTGCCTGATTTCTTTACAGATTGTGTGAAAGTCTCTCTGCACCTTCAACTCACCTAATGTAGACTGTATCATTTTCTTTCTTACCGATATAGTTTTAAAATAGAATAAAAAAAAAAGGATGCTTATTAATTTTCAAAACTAGACCTCTAAGGAGAACCAAGCATATGGCAATTACAAAATACTACATAACATTATTTCAAACTTTCCCTTTGAAATGTTAGTCGTTAATGTAGCCTACATCCAAAGAGCTCATCAGTTGGCTATAATAGAAACCCTAAAAGTTTGAATATTTTGATAACAATTCTTTCATTTATGATATAATAAAGAATAAAAGCCCTATATGTCTCTATATTAGAGGCTAGTAATAGCTACCAGGTTTATGACATGTAAATAACGGTTAAAATTCATTATAGATTAAAATTTATCTGTTAAATATGCCCTCTTGAGATCTCACATATTTATTTATTTATACAGCCTCAGAACAAAATGACAGCATTTACTGCATAGCTCACTCCTCCTTCCGTGAAAACAGATGTTTAAACATTTCATTTATAGCATAAACTTTATTATAAACATTGAAGAATCTATGTTTTGAGTGTTTCTTCCACACATTCATACAAGTTTTGACTTAAAGAACAAAAAGCACAATCAATCATAATAATTCACATTTGTTTAGTTGTTTCAGCATATTTCAGCAATGTGAAGCCCCTTAAAGTAAAATATCTTTAAGCCTCAACACAGTGAAGTGTAGCATTTTACCAAGATGTGACATCAAACAGTGGGTTTATCCAAATGAGGTTCAAATATACAGATATATACATATAGTTATGAGGTTTGAAATTGCAGCTGAAAGGGACAACATTTAAGGGAGCAGGTTCATTGAAAATTGTTTTAACAAGATGCTGCTGTCCGGCTTTTTAAGGCTGCTATGTAATTTGAAGGATATGAAAAAAATAGGATCCTTAGTGGACATTTCTGCAGATTGAAACCATTTTCATATTTAAAACCTTTAACCCCTTCAGAGCCAAGGTGAGGGTAAACGTAAACAGTCGACCTGTATGACTACAGTATGCTACGTGGCTCAGATCTTTCTCTCATAGCAGGAATTGGCACATTAGTGAACAGTGTAACTATTACACTGAAACACAACATTCAGCAGCGTTCATGTCTGTACTTTTTACTGCCTATTCTCTCAAAGAGAGAGGTTTGGAGCACACCGAGCGAGGATCTGTCATCTTCTTGGTACAGTTGGGATCATCAATGATCCTCTTTTCTCTTTAGCTAGTCGGGTTTTCAACAGATTTCAGGTCGGAGGTCTGAGCTGAGCCTTTTCTGTTTTCTGCTAGTTATCATAAAATTTTTAGTAAACATATTATAGCAGCCTAGCAGGTCCTATGGAAGACAAATGAGCCCGCATCATGACAGGGCCTCCATTGTATGAAATAGCAGGAATAATGGGGTTTTCCACTCATTTATCCTTTGTTTTGCTATGAAGAGTCAGGATGGCAACCAGAAAGGAAAACCTGTGGACTGTAGTTCAAGTTTAAGATCTTTGGTCTTATTTTTCAAGCTAACTTGACCTAATTTCTCCACAGATTTGAACCTCGGTTCAGCTATTAAGCTATTACGGTAAGAGCACTTTTTCACTATAAATGCCTACAGTCCTACCTCTTTTCTAACACCAAGAATTGCTTATTGCTCTATACTGACATCACATAAAAAACCACTAAAGCCCTTCTTTCAAAACTTATTAAATAAAATTCATATTAACTAGAAGAACTGGCAGGCACAGACGAATAAGGCTTTGACAGGAAAAGACTACATGTCCCATCACTCCCTGCTCTCCGTGGCTTTGGAGCTGTACAGACTCTTAAGGTGCTCCCAGTCGGCCTCGCTCTCGCAGTGCTTTACGCTGGTGAAAAACCTCTTGATGAGATCTTTAGCTTCACCTTTAACTGCAGACAAACAGATTAAGGTCAATGCAGAGTCAACCACACACTATTAAATGACTGCAATGCTTTAGTTACCTTGGCTTTTACCACAACTTTTACCCTCTGTAAGAAGGTGAGACAAGCACCGTGCAAAAGACTTAAACACAGCCTGTAAAACATTCAATCGTCCATCAAACACCGACACTAAATAGATAATTCACTTTATTACGAGTCCTACCCACCTTGTTGGCAAACTTCCCCTGATGGTAATAGGGGTCTAGATAACGCACCACGATATCAGCCGCTTCCTTCAGCGTCACCGCCTCAGTGGGCTTGCTGGGCGGCGGGAGCAACCTCTTCTGCACCTCCGGGTTAAACGTCACTCTTCTCTTGGTTACTCCTAACGTCCGGCTGCGCTTCGCTTCAGAAGAAGACTCCTTCTGCTCTGCTTTCACCTCGTCTGCCAACTGCAAACACATGGCACCCTTACCCATCACTAAGGATAAGATTAAATTTCATGCAATGGAGCAACAGGAAGTAGGTAGTATGGTTCAACCAGTTTGGCACAACAGCAGACTGAGATCTTTGCTCAGACTGGATTAAGAACGTCTAGTAAAACCAGCTTCTTAGTTAGTTTTAAACTCTGTGAGCAGTATCTGTGAACCTCTGAATGATTAATAATTACAAGGACAAATTAACGAGAGGAAAAGTTAACTGACAGCACTGCATTTTTCCTCTAACATAGAATGGCAGCTGTTAAAATAATCATTACTTGTAGTATAATAACACAGCTTAACGTTTTATGGAATGGGAAAAAGTGGACGGTGTAAAAGGGAAAGTCCACATCATTATGAAAGTCTCTTCTTTGGGCCGCTCTTTAAAGTAAACAAAAAAAAGGTTGAATATGAGAGAACTTCAAACTTTTCGAGGCTGAGAAAAGATGCACCTATTGCTCTAAAACCTCTTTTCAAAGTGTCATTTTTAAATACCTTTAATCTTTCAAATCGGACCAGCATCTCCACAGCATAATGCTGCCTCTATCATGTTTAAAGGCAGGGAAGTTGTGTTTACTAACTGGTCGTTCGTGATTTTTTTTTAAAGTATTGGAGCGATAGGGGCTGAAAACAACTGCATGCAACTGTTTTTGGATAGTTTATGGTTAAACAAAGATAAAAATCATGTATAATTTACCTACTTGTGTTGTGTTGCCAATATAATCTCACAATGATGTTTGTGGCTATAATGAGACAAATAGTGAAACAGTTCAAGCTAGTTGTATAATTATTATCCCATACCTCTTGAACAAAAGGTCGGTTATTTGCTTTTTCTGCTTTTTCAGGGTTGTTTGGTCTGCATAAGAGGTAAAAAAGTAGTTAAGCATCCACAAAAAAGACTATTCCTGTAAAGTTTGATAGAAATGTTTACTGATGTTAGAATACGTTGTGGTAGTGGTCATATCTTCTTGAGAAGTATCTTCAACCGGCGTCGACGTTTCCATTTTTTCCACTTCTTCGTCTTCATCGTCAGATAAAACGATGACTTCAGTTTTTGGTTCAATCAGGATCAGATCATCAGCCTCTAAAAGTTCAGGATGGGTCTCTGTTTCTTCCCCTGCAGCCAGACATTGCAGCTCCTGCCTGATGCTCTCCTCATAAATCTCTCCCAGAGTCTCTGATAACAAACCACCTGCTTCCAGGAGAGGCTCCGCCTCTTCACGGCTCTCCTCCTCTGCAAGGCTTTTTTTCACAAAGTACTGGGAGATGTTTCGAGAACTCTTTGCCGCTTCTGCCAGCTTCTGTTGCTTCCTGCTCATGGCTCTGCCTCCTTTGCTGGGACTGTTTAGGGAAGCGCTGATGGCGGTGGCCCTGGCTCTGATGGATGACGTCTGGGCCGGCGGGGTCTCCTTCTGTGTATCAGTCACTCTGATCTTTTTGAAGTTCGACTCCTCGGCAGAGTCACTGAAAAAGCTGCCATTTTCCATCTCTTTGGTGGAGGGATCCAGGAGATTCCTGGCAGACTGGAAGCAGCTAGAGGAGCCCCTTACACCTGCACCCACTCTTTTCCGCTTCATCTGGAGCAACAAGGAGGAGAGTTAAAAAGCAGGAGTGTAAGTCTCTGAAGCTTTAAGGATGTTTGTGTGAAACAGCACTCTTACTGAGTAGATCTGAGAAGCAGAGGTGAAGCCCTGCAGATCCTCTGGGTATAAAGAAGATGAACTTCCTTCTGCTTTGAGTTTTGTCTCAGCTTCTCTTGAATCGCTGCTGCTGCTGCCTTCATCTGTCCCAGCTGCTGATTTGATCTCCGACTCCTTCAGGAAACCAGATCAGTTCCATAATTAAACATCCCCAGCTTTATTCTGCATGGTTCATATTAGAACTCACACATTTTCCTCTACCTTCTTAAAGATAGCAGCTTTGTACAAGTTGGAGGATTTGCTGCTTTTGAACGCTTCATATTCTATATCCACCGCTGAACTCAGACAGCTGAGAGACAGAGAGGGAATAAAAAAGGAAAGATAGTTATTTGTTTCATTCAATCAGGTTTTTGCCGATTAGTTGTTGTGAATATTTGAAGTCTCTGACCTTAATGTATCTTGTGCCCCCTGGTGGCTGCACAGAGCATCACGCAGACGGTACAGGCAAAGCTCTCTGATCTGAAATGAGCCTTAAAATCAGATTTCCTTGAAATTTCAGTCTAAAGTGATTACTCATTTAAAATGGAGTAATATAGAGTCATGTGCTAACTTGTTTTATACTTTAAAAATCAAATCTACTTTGATATTTCCTAAATTATGATCTTGGAGGGCCTTGATCCTGAACCTGTTTTTTATGCTTCTCTGCTTCGATAGACCTAAGTGAAATAATCACGAAGGAAGGAAGGAAGGAAGGAAGGAAGGAAGGAAGGAAGGAAGGAAGGAAGGAAGGAAGGAAGGAAGGAAGGAAGGAAGGAAGGAAGGAAGGAAGGAAGGAAGGAAGGAAGGAAGGAGTCAGAGTGTTCCTAACTTAAACTGTGTTGGCATTCTTGCATCAAATGAAAACAAAGCAAGTAAATAAAGAACAGATGTAGGAAAAATGTTTGCTGGCGTTTTATTGAACCTCTGCACATCCATCTTTCTGCAGCTGGACAGGACCTCTGATGAAACATCACTCACGTGGGAGTTAATGAGCACCCAGTGCAGGAGGAATGTATCGGCACCATTCCAGTTTTTGTCACATACCTTCACAGTGAGCCGGGGGATCCTCTGGCTGCTGGCCTCTCTAAGCGGACAGTCAGCGTCTGCACAACAGGGAGAACTTGTTACTCCACAAAAGATCCACATGAATCATCAGTGTCGTATTCCTCTGTTGGTGTTACCTGGGGGAACAAAGTCCTCTCTCTGGCTGTTGGATCCCTAAAGACACACATGCATTGACGTGAGTTAGCATTTCCACACTGAGGTGACTTTCAGCCACACCCTGTGAAAGCCACAATGTAAACTAAAATGTTTCCCAGTTAAATATGCATCAAAACATGCAATCATACTTGTTCTGTAAGGTGTTTAAAGCTTAATGTGCCAGCTCTCTCCAACATATGGGAGCAATTTGAACAAAACTGTCCAAAACAGGCTGGGCGCCGGTCAGTCTTTGCAACAAATAGCTTAAATACAGCTGGATGTGGAAAGAGGGAACAACTGTTCTGGGTTTTTTTTTTCTTTTAATGAAACCTGAACCTAAATCCTTCATTAGTGAAAAGTTTCACTATTAAGAACATATGAGTGCATAAATAACCCCTATCTTAACATGAGGTAAAAATGCTCAGAGATACAATAATATAAAAATCTAAAACAGGTTTAATCTAGATTAGCCAGTTTTCTTACAGTTTTACAATATTCTAACTTTGGGGGGGTCGGCTATCATAAAATATTTAGTATATTGAGTTTATGGCTGCGCATTTATAACAGCTTACGTTCAGAGATCCAAAACATAGAGCATAAAAAAAGATAATCCAATAAAAATATATATGTTTTTTTTCTTCTAAGTATGAATCTTCTTAATCCAGTATATTTCAATAACGCAGTAGCTACCAAACCCCACCTTAAGACAGTTTGCCAAACTACAACCTAAAATGTAATAAGAATACAGTAAAAAACACCTAAAATCTAAGACAGACATATTTTCCTAAAATAGGTACATGTTTCTTGGATTAAGCAGGTAAATGACAAACTTTACCAATGAAATAAGATAGTTTTCATTTAAATATTAAAAAACAAATGCAGTCTCTCTGTTCAAGTGCATAATATCGAAGTATCTTATTTTAAGGTAAAAAAAAAAAATACTTGGCAGCTCATCTTATTCACTTACTTAAATTAAGTGTAAATACACTTATTTTAAGATATTTTTTTTTACCGATTATAAGATCAGAAGCTGAGCTAAAATTGGGCAAGTTTTTTAAAGTTTGGGATAATTCCCTACACTTCAAAAATCTAACCTAGAAATAAGTAAACATTTCTTAAGTTTAGTGTATTTAGCTTCAATTTAATTAGGTAAATAAGAAAATTTGCAAATGGACTCAGTATTTTTACTCTTAAAATAAGCTAATTAGATAATATGCATTTGAAGCAATACAATGAAATTGTTTTTCTTATCCTAAATGTAAATTGTCTTGTTCCATTGGCAAGGTGTCTCACTTACGGTACCTCCTTATTTCAAGAAGATATGCTCTTGTTTTAAGAAAAATAATTTTTTTGATTTTTTACAGTGTATTTTGCTGACGTCTACTTGGAAAATTAATCAGACCATCTGTGAAGAGCATTTTTAGCTATTGTCAGGTTTGACAGGTGTTCCTCCTCCATCTTTATAGACGATGTGAAATTAATGTTAGCAATCACCTTCCGTAGATTCATCTGTTTTTTGTAGAAGTCAGAAAACTCTTTTTTCCTCTTCTTGGCCTCCTCTTCAGCACTTCCTTCCTCTCCTTCATCATACCTTTAGAGGCGACCCACAGCATCATCATTATTTTACACCAAACACCAATATTTCTGTGACATAAACGCTGTCCCTGCCTTTCAAAGCCATAGCCCTTCTTCCCTCCTTCATATTGCTCCGGCTGGTAGCCGAAGGGTCCTTTGGGCCCGCCGCTCTGGCCGTCTTCGGTCTTGGTGCTGAGGGTTGCCGCTCGCTCCAGCTGTGCCCGCACAGCTTTGGGATTCCTGCAGTAGTCGCAGGCACCCGCGCAGTTTGGCTTCTTGTCGTCGAAATACTTGGAGATGATGGCATGGCGGCACCTGATAGAAGAAAAGAGAGAGTGGTCCAGCTGCTGTCACGGCTTTGTGGCGCCTTATTGATCCACCTGCTGTTATGTAGACGGCACACATGTTTTAGTTAAGAAGCAGGTAAGCACTTTTATGCCTTTTTTATTTTATTTTAACACAATCTACATGTTAAATTCCAGTTATCAAGTTTATATATAAAGAAAAAAAACTGTGGTTTTGGAAAATGTGTTACGTAAGAACTAATATCCACCCCCCCTCTCAGCCATAGAGCCTGTTTGGGAATCATTCACATCAACAGAATCCAAACCCCAATGCTGGGAATGGGAACGCTGCCACCTTCCTCTGTGAAACAGGGAAGTCTGAGCCAGGCAGAGAGGAGCACAAAGTAAAGCAATAGTCCCTCCCAGACACGACTGTCAAAGACAACTGGAAAGCCTCTGAGGAAACTAGAGGAAGATCTGAAGAGTGAACGCAAAGGAAGAAAAGGCTTCTCTTCTCCGTATGAATCTTACTTATAGTCTCACTTTAGGACCAGCGTCAACTTCTGGTTGCACCTCCCCAACAACAAACCAACTAACCAGTTTTGCCAAGCAAGACGTTCTGCAGAAAGCAGCTACTGGGAGCATAGAGCATGCTCACAACGTCTCCACCCAGTGCACTCCCTCATCTGTTGGCTCTGTAACTCCTAAGTGTGAGAAAACAGCTGAGACTCTCACAGGTAGGTGTCCTTCATTCTTTCTGAGAAAAAACCTGACTTAGAAATAGATTCAGCAGAGGGAAACAGAAAATAGTGTCTTAAAAGTGCAAAAAAGGACTGGTTTACTTCAACATCTTTTAAATGATGTTTGTTTCTGGATGTTTTAAACTCATCAGAGCCGATAGTCTATAGTGCGTTGATTCCATTGGTAAAAACAAACAAGACAACAAAAAAGCACTTCTCCGTAGACTGAAACAGAAAAGAGTTGATCTGTTCAGCAGGTTAATACATTCGAAGGGGAAACGAACAAACCCAACCTTCTCAATCTTCTATATTCTTTGATTTTGTCTGAATATCAACAAAAATCAAAGAGTAAAATCATAACTGACGGTAAATTCCTGTGGCTGACTCTGTTCAGAGCTGCTTCTGATTGGAACACGCTGTTCAGAGAGAGCATATGTTTGTTATTAAAGTAATCTAAGCAGCTCCATTTCACGTGTTTTCAACGATCATCCGTCCTCAGCCATTAGAGGACTCAGCTGAAGCTTCCTTTAATACATGTAGACCTAATGTCATTTTAGTGGGTTTAGTTCGTTATAATGGAAACCAGCTCATACAACCAGAATAGTAACAGAGCTTCACACCCACTTTCAAGGAAACAACTAAAAGAAAAAAATCGGAACCACTTGAAACTGGGCAGGAGTTTAACTTTCCAGCAGGACAAAGCTGAAAGGAAGTAGTTTAGATCTAAGCAGATGCATGTGTTCAAATGGTCTAGTCAAAGTCCAGATCTAAATCCTTTTTGATTCTGAGGCAAGATCAACGTCCACACATGCTGCCTGTCCATTCAATATAAGGTAAGACTATTTTCAAAGAGAAATATGCACATTCAGTCTCCAGATGCATAAAGCTGGTAAATAAAATGTTACACTTTTATAGTTAGCTGCCTTCAGAAGGAAACTGGTTGCGCCGGTTTTTAATTATTAGTATCTCAGTTATAGAAATGCACATAACACTGTGCTGGTCCGGGTCAAAAAATTCAGCAAAGATTTACAGACGTACAAGGATGTAAGCAGAAATATATAACATTGTATGAATCGTTTTTAACTTTTTTTTAAAAACGCTCCTGTTTGAAGACAGACATCAAACACCAACGAATATGATTTTTTTAAAACCAGAACCTCAACATGACCTTTTTGCTCTGGGTTCTTCTCAGCAGGATGGATGCCAGGGAGGAGACAGTTGGCCTCCTGAACAAAGTATGGCTCAAGCTTCAAAGTCTGTCCAGAGCCCACCCTGTGGACCTGGCAGCCTTCTTCATCCTCCTCATCTTCATCTGTGAGTCATATCCCCTTTTTTTCAGCATACTCTTAAAAGAGAGTTTTGAAACTAAACATACATATATTCTTCCTCCAATAGTAATGGTGATCCTGCTGGCGGGGCTGACCTGTATGAGCTGCTGCTGCTGCTCCAGGTGTAAATCCAAACAGCACAGACCCGACGTCTGAGTGAACGTGTTACTTTCAGACAGTTTTATTTTTTTTTTCTGCAGATCTGATAAGCAAAATGCTTAGAAATCCTCACTGGGTGTCGGATATAAACCATACACCTTTTGCATAAAAACTGGGCGGAGCCTCAGAACAACAAAGCAAACTCTTGGATTGTGTTCAAGGCCGCGGAGCACACCCATTAATGCTGCCAGGATTTCAGGAACAGCAACATTCCTTGGAAGCATCCCTGGAGCCCGCGAAGCATCAACAGCTCCTCTAACCTGGGGATTCAGTTCCCAGCTGGCGTATGTCAATACACAGGACCCAACATGTTTATGGGCTGGAAAAAAACCAGTGAGCTGCACAGTGTTCGATCAGAAGAAAGCCGTGTTTGTTTGGGAATGTTTTATACTGATCTGGAATCATGGGATGCCTGAGGAAAATTAGATTAGTCTTCATATCGAAAGTAAACAGTTATTAGGGTGTTTTCGCCTTAAAAAGGCACAAAACACTGTTTCTTCTGTTACTTTCGGGAATAAGCCAAATTAGATTAACTTCAATGTTCATCATGTAAAAAAGGCAAGCAAAAAATAAAGTATTTAGAAGCTGGATGGAAACAGTGAAAGTTAATGAAGAGTAGCAAAGTTTCCTGCTCCTGTTTGGGTTCAGAAAGATTTCTTTAGAAATTTGCCCATCAAGAAGAGAGTTTAGAGAGCTACCAAAGCAGCACTTGTGGAAGGATTTAAAAGAAGTTGATGGTTAGCAATCAGGAACTATATTCCTTTTTTAAAACCGCTATTGTTAATCTAAAGTAACCCAATGCTGTTTCTCCCAGCAGTTATAACACCAATCTGTAAGCAGAAACAGGAGTTGGTGAAATACTCAATATGGTTCAATTAATTTTCCTTTAAAAACATGTGTTTTAGCCCTTAAAAAAGCCAATTAAAGCAAATTGCAGAATATATAGTTGGTGAAGACATCAGATCCCCGATTCATGATAAAATAGCAAATAATTATAAAAATCTCACCATTCTAGAGTTCTTTCATTACAAGGGTCACTCCATCCTTCTCTTTGGTGCAAAAAAATGATACCATTGTTGAAATAGGGTTAGGATTAACCATTTAATCCATTAATCACATTTTTTTCCACTCATAGCTTTAAGTGACATCAGTTCTTCACTTTTTGTTCTTAGATGTGTAGTTCTAACTGATAAACTGTGTGATGCCACTCTGCTGCAAACATTTAATTTGTTATATATTCATTGTTTGATCTGAAACATGATTATTTGAATTGTTATTATTTAAACAGTAATTACTATTTAATTTGAGGTCAGCTACCAGATGGATGAGTGTTAGTTTTTTTTTTTTAAGCAAAACAATTTGTTTATTTTATTTTTTTTTAAATTAACCTTAAATAAGAAAAATATAAATAATAAATTAATAAAATTAATTGATCGATCAGAATCATTTTTAAGCCATATTGGCCAGCCCTACATTCAAGCTGTTTTTTTGTTTGTTTTTACAAAGAAAAAACAAAAACATACAGAATTTTTTTTAGAAAAAAGAAATGATCTGCTCTGAAAAACTTTAAAAAACAAAGTTTATATTTTTTGTAGGTTTTGCTCTAAATATATTCAGAGAGTAATGCTGCCATCTGCTGTCTGGAAATGGAAAACCAGATATTCAGAGAAATGATGTTCACACCTAAAACTGTTGGAATAGTTGAAATATGTGGGAATATTACTGTACTCTAGTTTACTGCAGTGACTGTATATTATATATATATATATACACTTTTCTCACCCTTCTTGCTCACAAAACAGAGCCATGGCTTCCAGGTCAGAAAGGGCTGCTTTGTCAGACTCCTTTGAAGTGCCTCGTTTCTCCTGCAGAAAATAAAAAAAATCTTCATGCAAACATTCTGCTGATTGCATCTCATTGATCTCAGGTTGCTCTGCTGTCAATCCTACCTGCCTGCGGGTGATTTCCTGGCGAATCAGGAAGCTTAGCTGCTCTTTATCCTTACGGCTATAGTAGGTGCGACACAGAGAGAGCAGACCGTCTCTACCTGCTCGTCCAGACTCTTGGTAGTATCCGGCCAAAGACTTTGCAAGGTTCCAGTGTGCAACAAATCTGCCAAATCATAAAAAATAAATAAAAAAAATCTAACTGCAAACAGAGAATATTTGTCTTCTTACCTGACATTAGCTTTGTCCACACCCATGCCAAAGCTGATTGTTGCAACGATAACCAGCACCTTCCCCTGCATCCACTCATTCTGCACCTCTGTGCGATCGGCTCCCTTTAGACCTGCAAACAAAAACAAACTTTCTACATGAACTCCAAAATACACGTAGGTCTACAAAACACTCGTTTCAACATCCTACCTGCATGATAAGGCTTAGCTAAGACTCCAAGCTTGGTCAGCTGGTAAGCAACAGTTTCACAGCCTTCTCTGGTTCGACAGTAAACAATCCCGCAGCCCTGACCACAAACAGTGTAAAGAAAACCTTTGTGAGAACAGAGTGAGTCACAAATATCTCTATCAGAAGTGCAAGAAAGAAAATGACCTAATTTCTAAGCCAAAAGAGACTATATCGAAACATGCCTTCATGCTGCAGCTTTAGCTTCAAATCAACAGACTCCCTTTAAATCCTTTATAACAGGAAAATCTCCATTTAAAGATCAAATGTTAAAAAAGACTTTTTCATCTGTGAGAGAAAACTAAACTCAACTAAAATACAATATCTGAGGGTGATAAGTAGAACCTTACACTTATTTGTAAAAATAAAAAAGATGCTTTTGTATAAATTAAGACACTTTGGTGAAGGCAACAGATAAAAATCTCTGTGTAAATGGGGGTAATAAAGATATTTAGGCTGGTCACTTTTCACACTCCAGAAAAACATTTGACAAACTGTGTCCAAAGGGATAAAATCGCAGTCTTTCCTCCTGACTTTAAGGATTATGTGCAAGATATTTTCAAGATTTGAGGGAGGAAAACAAAACCATACAACTATGAGGCACAACAATATGACCAGAGGTGGATAAAAACCCAGCCTCATTTTCCTTCATCCTGGTTAATTAACCAGGTGGTTAGATCCTCGGGTGATTAGTCTGGATTGTGGAGCTTGAAATGCAAATGTTGAAACTAATCTCTGTGCAGGGTTTTTACTTTCTTATCCACTTCGGATTATGACCACCTCGACTAAAAAACCCGGCAACTAGCTGTGGTACCTGACAACAAGAGATCAGCAGAAGTTCTTTACATTGAAGTATGCAGCATGCGGAATGTAATATAAAACTGATGAAAAGGAATGTAAGAAATGAAACCCAGCAAATTAAATTAAGACATTGAAGCATCTCCTCAATTTACTAGACCAAAACAAAACACAGGTTCAGGATCCCTCTGCATGTGAATAGAAATAAGTGTTAATAATGTGTTTGTTTTTACAGTCAGTCATATTCATTTATTTTCTTTTTAATATTGAACATTATGCATTTATTATTATCTATTAATAGTTGCTTTTTTTAACTTTCTGATAAGTTATTTTCTTCTGTTGTACAGCTCATATTTTAATGAGCTTTTTGTATGTATAACTTAATCTAGTGTGTAAATCGGATGTGTTTCTTTACTTGTTTTAGCCACAGAGCTGCCCAAATTACCCCATGGTAGGGAAACAAAGGTGTTTCTATTCTATTCTATTCTATTCTATTCTTGTTAACAATTATTTTGCAAATCGATTAATCTGACGATAATTTTTATGATTAATCACTAGTAATCGGATAGCCAAAGGTTACTTAAAGAAGGCTTTTTACAAAATGAAACCATGTGAAACTAAAACTTTTCCACCTGAGGAGTTGTAGATAGAGCATATTGACAGACAATTTTTTTTTTTTATCTTAAATGCAAAATATTGATCTTTTTTTTATATAGTTTAGACAGAATTGCTGTTCAAGGGCTGGTTGCTCTGTCAGTATGTTGTAGAGTCTCTACACTCAAGTTAATGATTAATCGATTACTAAATAAGTTGAAGATTATTTCAATAATCAATTAATTATGATTAATCCGATTAATTTTTTCCGCCGTAGTTTGGCTTTATTCAAACTACCTCATTTCCCCTAAATAAACCAATGAACCAATTTCCCTGCTTCTAAGACATAATAACTAAAGATAACAGGTTAATTTGTTGCTTAGAAAGTACGTTTTCATGCCAAGTTGCTATTAAGAAGAGAAATCAATATTACTCCTCAAGATGAAATCCATTGCTTTACTGCAAGTTTTAGTATTAATTTAAAGACCAAATGTAGTAAGAGTTACCTAAACAAGTCTTTTCTTTTTATATTCACATGGTGCAATAAAGATTAGACTGAATAGATTTTAATGCAGGAGAATTCTACGGTATGTTAGAAAAAGGGTCTAACTATGATAGGAGGGTTATGGTAGACGGCTTATGAGATATTTTCACTAATCGAAGGAGAATTTTACCTTAAAAGTTCAAGGCTGTTTGATACCAGATGCTAATAATAGTGACTAAGCAAGCTTTCAAGCTTTTCATAGTGAGAAAGTTTAAAATATCAAATCTGCTCCTTTCAGCGTAGAAGTTTTAAGGAAGCTTCACTAATCAGATTTTTGGGAGATTCAAACTGAGCATTTCTATTAGTGATGGGTCCAGCAACAGAGATCATAGGTGCATGCGTCAAGATCATAGAGCAAAACATTTCATCAAAGTCATTTGACCGATACAGGAGTTGTTTCTAACTGACTGACTCACTAAATTGTGTTTAAAAATGTATCTGTCAACATATTTGTCTCATATTTTGCGGTTTATGGTTAAAATGATCAAGAATTTTGGAGCAGCCTAAAAGGAATAGGAACGTTTCAGCCCTTGCATTTTCATTTTCTCGTTGTGTCATCCTTTTCCTCTCAGTTATCACTCAACTTATCTCAATTCAAGCTCATTTCAAATTGACTCTTAGTTTATTTACTGTTTTTCCTGTACTTTTTTTCTTTTATTTATTTATATATATATATATATATATATATATATATATATATATATATATATATATATATATATATATATATATATATATATATATATATATTTTTTATTTTTTATTTTTTTTTAAATCCTAGTCAACAAACATCCTCATTCACATTTTCCCCTAAAGTTTCACGTTATAACTGTTTACATTATTCATTGGCTGCATCTAAAATATCAAAGACATTTGCAATTTAAACATAGATATGAAATAATACAATATAACCAACACTAACTTAAATTATATCACTGTACTAGTTAATCAAATCAATTCAGTTTAGTCTGTCAAATAAGCTGCCTGTAGTGTCTTTAAAGCTCCAGCAAGTGTCAGTATTCTGCGAGACAGTATAAATAAAAGTTTGGCAATGTGTCAAAATGCTTCAAGATGCCTCATTAACCCATTACTAATTTCTATTTACTCCGTTGACAACATTTAAGCCTAAAGTATAATTACAACACTCCAAAGCTACTTCAAAGCAAGTCGAGCTTCATACATGTAATTCTGTTTGGGTTGAATGATCTCTTTTACGAACCTGTCCAGCAGATCCGCTGCTCAGATCCAGAGCTTTTTTAATAAAGGCCTGAAGGTGAACATAAGGGTTTGGCAGCAGATCTCTGAAGATCACATCGTAATGAAGGTTGCTACGGAAGACCGGCGTGACAAAGGACATGGGCGAGCGCAGCTTCAGTGATTTCATAATGTCTTCTTGGACGTTTTTGGGAGCCGTCGCTGTCAAAGCCAAACAGGGTACTCCTGGTATGCTAGCCCGCAGCTCACCCAGTTTGAGATAGTCTGGTCGGAAATCATGGCCCCACTGGGAAACACAGTGAGCCTCATCCACAGCCAGGTAGGACAGCAGGCCGCGGGAGCACAAACCCGTCAGGCAGGGCTTGAACGAGGTTGAGGCCACCATCTCTGGAGTGATGTATAGGAGCTTCAGCTTCGGCCGGCTGCTCCCCAGATCAGCCAGGATCAGACGGCGCTCGGCTGCAGCAAGCTTGGAGTTGATGGAACAGGCTGGGATGTTGAGCTCCTTCAGGCGATCCACTTGGTCCTAGAGAACGTCAAAGATAAGAGGATACTACACTCACATCCAGTTTAGAGAAAACATCAGGAAAGATGAGGTAAAGCAGAAAACCACAGGACTGTGCTGTGCTGTTCTTTTTACATTATTTGCAGGTGATGAAGCAGACTGAAAATGTTTTATCATGATCTCCCTTTTATCTCCGCTTTCTTTCATATTTTCTCCTTTTTTTCTATTTTTCCTTTCCTGTTCTACTTACATTGCAGTGTCCATATAATCTGTATAATTCTGCATAACTGCATAACTGCATAACTCTGCATAATTATAATAAAGCAATTTATATGCATAAAACAAGCGGATCACTATGGCGATAGCCGTACTGCTCCACTTGTGAAAGCAAAAGCTGTTGGGCTAATTTTTTTAAGCATCAAGACAATTATTCTTATTGCCACATCACCAGACAGGACACTGTAAAAAAAAAAAAAAGAAAGAAAAAAAAGAAAACCACAGGACTAATGTCAATTTAATGTACATGGACTCTTAACAACGTGCTGTTAAAAAAAAAAGATCAACATTCTTCAACACTTATTCAACCCTTAATCTAATAAATATTCTGGACAAATTAAAAAAAACAAAGCATCATAAAATGGTAGCATGTGAGTGCTAATAGAAAATATAGCCAGAAATATTGATTCCCATGGAAGATTTTGATTTAAATCATTTAAATTCAACCAAGAACCTTAATTCTGACATTTCTCAAAAGATAATAATAGAATGTAAAAGGGTATATTGTATAAATAAATACTGTTGTAAGTGCTAAGAAAATGTATTTCTATAAAAAAATATCCTTGGCAGTTGTATATATCTAACAATATTTCTCAGTATTTTCAACAAGTTTAGGTCAAATTTTCTCAAACTCCATTCCTCTAAGCCCCAAGAACTGCATGTTTTAGATGCGTTGATGCTCAAAAAAAAAGCTATGAAATGCATAAATAATCTCTCCAACATTTCATCAAGTTCTGTAAATGCTTATAAACGATCCATCACTTAAATCAGGTGTTTTGAACCAGACAGGGACCTTAAAGATTAAGGATAGCAACTGTTGAACTTCAAAGGTCTGGGCTAGGTAGTAACCTTGAATAGCAGCAGCGTCTTTTTACACCAAAGAAAACATGTTAGCCTTTCTATGCAACAAAAATGTTTGTTGGAGAATATATTATGATCTGGTGAAACCAAAATGTGAACTCTTGGCCACAACTCTACAAGGTGTGTCCTGCACAAACAAACACTAAATCAAAAAAATAATAAGAAAATGCACTCATCTGAAGATGATTACAGTTTTTGATCAGTGCAGAACTATATAGAATAGAATAGAATACAATAGAATAGAAAATCCCTTTATTTTCCCACAATGGAGAAATTCTGGCGTTTAAAGCAGCAAAAAGTTTAAAAAAAAACCTTAGGAAGGTGTATAAGTGTAACATAATAGTGAAAAGTAAAAAAAAAAAGAAACAACAACAACAAAAAAATACTGTACTGTAAAGTGTTTTAACAATATAAAACTGTGCACCTGGAGAATAAATAACCAATATGCAGCTATGGACATTTTTACATTAATGGATATTTGAAAATAGCAGCAACATCAGCATGTTATTTAAGTGACCAATATAGATACTGTGAAAATCAGCATAAATGTAACAACTTATTTAAGTTGTTGGGAACAGTGATAGTTATAAAGTCTTACAGCTGCAGGGAGGAAGGATCTGTAATAACACTCCCTGGTATATTTAGGGTGCAGAAGTCTGTCACTGAAGGAGCTCTCCAGCTCTGCAACAGCTTCATGCATGGGGTGGGAGAAGTGTGTGGTTGCAGATAAGGGGATGTGAACAGGAAATTCCCTTACAATCTGACAGTGGGTATTTTAAATTCAAAATGGGATTCTGACTGAAGTATCAGCAAAGAACAGAGGATGATTGTTGTTTTTTATGGCTTTATGTTTTGTAATGTTAAAAAAAAGTCTGCAATTTTAACAGGGAAGAATGTGGCCTTACAAAGCAAAGCTGAGGAGGTGTCAAAATAAAATAACATAGGAGTGTTAAATAGGAGTAGACCTTATAGAAGGTCATATATAATCACATATTCTTCCTCTTGACGTGGCAGAATCAGAGTAGAACATTTAAGCACCACATCAGCAGCAATTTGCAATAACATTGTTTACAGAGCAGCATCTGTGAGGAGTGGCAGCAGCAGATTGAGGGAAGAGACTGACCTGAATCAGAGCGATTAAAGGGGATATAACCAGAGTAATGCCCTCAGCCAGCACTGCAGGCAGCTGATAGCACAGAGACTTCCCTGCTCCGGTGGGCATGCATACAAACACGTCCCTGTTACCTAAAATAGCAGACAGTAAGTCAGATTTTCACCAATACCAAGCTTTAACTTCTTCATCAGTCTATTGCACACGTTACATATTTATGTATGTGTTGCTATGGTAAGGATAGCAGGAAAATGGGAATAAAACACAAAATAGAACATCTGTTTCTGACTCACCACGAATGACAGCCTTAACAACATCTTCCTGAAGTTTAGACCTGAAGCCGTCGAAGCCAAAGTGAGATTTTAAAGCCTGTTTTAAACTTGTTGACATCGTTTATCTGCCTTTGAAGAACTATCTCTCGTCGTCGCACATCTATGACGTCACTGGAGTCGAAAACAAAAGACACGAAAACAAAAGTAGAAATAATTAATATGTGTTATTATTATACTTTATATGCTTTTGAAAACATTTAACAATTTACTTAGATATATTTACAATTTTAATTAAAAATAAAAAAGAAGAAGGAGTCTTCCATGTCCATATATGGCAGTCAAATTCTGATTGGTCCAGCTTTGTGAACCTGCTAACGTGCCTTCAGCCTGAAGGATTAGATGTGCTACTCATTGTACAGCAGTGAGTGATATTGTGATATTTTTTTAAAATCTATGTGGCCTCATGTATTTCCATAATTATGTCTTGTTGCAGCAGATAAGTGATATAAGCTTAAATGATCACAGATAACAATGGGGACAACTGAGTTAATCTCTTGTTGGGCCCAGTCAGAATGAACCATGTATGGTCTGACTATTCAAAGGTAAAGTAGCCCAAAGTCGTAGATTATTAAATTGCCTTCCTTGTTTGTAAGAATAAATCGAAAGCTAATCATCAACTCCTGAGAGGGGTTTTCTCCACCTTTAAACATGATTAGAGGACTTCTCTTTTGGAATCGAAAAACTAATTTTGCATTTTAAAGGCACCTGGGAACTCTCACAAAACTAGCCTATGACCAAAACAGAGCTCTGTCTTCTTCTCATCTATAATGGAGAGTGCAATGTATTATTGATGGATGCCAGAAGACCACTCCTGAACCTTTGTAAACATCTTTGATGTTATGGCTGGGTTTCATTATCATGATGCAGCCTGGTTCTTGGTTCTTGAGTTTTACTAAAGTAGTTTATATTTTCATATACCAAACTCTTTATTAGGCACTCCTCTTTCACTGTTTTGAACAAAGCTAGCAACGTAGCAGGTTTAACCAGCCGATCCACTTAGAATGGCATAAAGAAAGCAGTTAATACTCATAGGGCTCCTCTGATTTCTCTGAGGGAACATCGTGCATAAGAAATCAGTTAGGACTGGAAAACAAAAAGATTGTAGATGGACTTGGATTCTTTTGTATAATGTGGTGCCTGCTGTTTTTTCCCCCCTTGTCAATTCTAACAATTAAATTAGTCACCATGCTTTACTCTTTATTAGCTTTGCCCTACAACATGTTATATGATCAGAAGGGAATGGCATTACGAAAGCTGTAGGTAGAATAAGCAATCTTTGTATCAAAGCACTTTGAATGCCATCTCTGAATGAACAGCATGAAGAATATTACAGAAGATGAGCTAAAGCCAAAAATCTCACCAAATGCCACTCTAGTGAACTAAGGAGACTGAGGTAGTCAGCAAAAGCTCATCCAACTTGGCCATGTTGTAAAAATGCCATCTGGTTGAACAAGTACTTATTTAGGAGCAAGATTCCTTTATGGGGCCATCAGAAGTTCACACTAGTGGTGACAGTGTGATAGTTTGGGAGATATTGGGCATCTTTCTACCAAATGAGCATAATATAAACACTTAATCATACTGTTGTTGCTTACAACTTAAATCCCTTTATGGTATTCAGTCATTTAAACCCACCTGCCCCCACCCATCCTCACCACCTTCTACAGAAGCCCCATAGAGAGCGTTTTGACCAGCTATAAGCCTGTTGAACTGTTAAAAACTTTGCATCACATTGTAAACATCATACTTGCGCTACATGGCAGATTTTCAAATCCTTTTAAATAGAATTCAACTCAGTGTTGTACTGCAATTTTGCGCCATATTTATTTATTCATTTTGCACTGCTCTGAACCTTCTACATCAATGCGTTTTGCACCATGTCTCTCCAACACTCAAATTTTTTATATCTGCTGCACTTTATAAATAGAAAGGTTAATTTCACTGCTAAGCTGCTCATTCACTGTTGAAAAATCTCTATGTATCATAATTTCATTTTGTATACACTCTGTTTCTATAAAATGACAAGTATAATGATCTCTTTTTCCAGAAGGCTTAGACGCGATAGAGAAAAAAACACAAAGATGGATTTTTTTTAATTCTTTATTCACAGAAGTGCATTTTAATTATCATATTAGCGTTGGAGAATACATAAGATTTTAGCATCAGGGTTACTGCACACATGTCTGGAAACACAAAAGACCAGAGGGTTGTGCTCTAACTCTATCTTGACAAAATAGTAGCAGCAGTCACTTTAAAGCAGAAGCAGCATATGGAGTGGTCACATGAATGGTCATTTTTATCAGGATTACCCTGCTACTCTGGTTCCTTATACTTTATAATATTTGTTACTGGCTCATACAGGGAAACCTGAAAGAAGGAACATCAGGCCCACAGACAAGATGTGGGGCAGAGACATTGGGTCTTAGCTGCTGGGGACCGGATCACCAGATCCTTAACAATCTCCACTGTACCAAACAACGGGAAGAGCTGCTCAGTAAAGGTCTCGTTATAGGTATAAATGTGCAAGTGTTTGTCTACATCATAGAAGGACAGCTGGCCGTTGTCATAGTCGAGGTAGATGCCCACCTTACGAGGGACCAGGCCAGGTGGCAAGGCGGTGAAGGGCACCGTCAGAGCCTTGAACTCAGTGCCCCTCTCCAGCCGCAGGGTCATATACCCTGTATCAGTGTTCAGGGACTGGAAGCCCTTCCTCAACGCTGACTCTTTGGCCACGCCTAGCCGCCAGTCGCGCTCGCCAACCTCTGCCTCCCAGTAGTGTCGGCCAGAGCCAAGGCCTTCGATGCCGACGGCGCACCACCATCCGTCAAACCGCTGGTGGTAGTTGGGAACATCTTTTCGTTCAAAGCCACAGCGCATCCTCTTCTCATCAGCAGAAATGAGCAGATCAGGGTTGGCTGTGTCTAGATCGAGAGTTACCTCGACTTTAGGGGAAGGGATAAAGTTTTAATATCCCTTCTGCTGATAAAACTGATCAAAATATTTCTGGAAAACATGTTCAAGTACCTGCAGCATCTCTAATCCAGTTCCACACTACAATAAGGACAAAATACATTGAATTTGAACATAAACATTACTTATTCACAAATCATGCATATGAATAAAGTAAAAGTTACAATAATGCACTAATTATCTGTTTTTCTTTTAATGGCTCTATCCTGATTCAATAAAAAACTTAAATTGATCCTTCTTTTAATTTAAGCATGTTTTTTTTTACATTGCATGGTTGAAGTTATTGTATTTAACTTAAAGCTCCAAGTTAGTTAGTTTCTACTATTTGCAGCATTGGCTCTTCGGTGAATGCCTTCCATGATCAAGGAAAGTTGCTGCTGGATATTCTTGGCTGAATTAAAAGCAATCAAACTACATTGTGATTCAAACTGAATTCACACTTGGTGAATAAATTTAAATTTATTTGGGAAAAACTATTTGATACTCAGAACTAGCAGGGACCTAATGGGTTCTTTTAAATAAAGTGAATAGCTTTTGATATTAAGGTTGGTAGTGTTTTGTCGTGGTCTAAAGTCCTAGCAGGAAAAATAACAATTCTCCATAACATGAAAAAAGAAATAGAAGAAGAAAAAAAAAATTCTAATTGGCTTCCTAATTGATACATTCACAGAGCTGCCAAATGAATAAATTAAAAACCCTTTTTTAAATCTTTTGACATGTAGTCCTGATGCTCCTGTCAGTGGGAATTTGTTTGCTTTCATCATTGTACCTTTTAAAAAGAGAGCCTGTACATTCTAGCTGTTTAAATTTGTTTGTTTTAAAAGATTTTAAATATCTGTCAAACAAATGTTTGTGTTTACTTTTATGTTTCATTTACCTGGCTGAGGAATATAGGATATGGCACCTGTAAGGAAATCAGGAAACTAATTAGGAAGTGAATTGTTGCAAGAAAATGAATCAAAATGAATTCAGTGGTGATTTACTGACCAATTTTCTGAGTTCTCTGCTTCCACAAAAGCCACTGCTGTGGGATGGTGTCCTGCAAGAAGCAAAGGGGCTTGTTGGTGAATTTAGTGATGTCTAGTATGCTCCGTGCTTTACAATAGAAGCCTTTACCTTATCAGGTCGCTGTGACATTAAAGTCCACATAACCAACTCCATAGCAGTCAGTAGGTTGGGAACTCGGGCCCAGCGCCAGGCTGACTGCAGGTCCTCCAGCATCTTGGCCACCGGTTCTCCGGGCCAAACGCTTTGCTGCATATATGTGTTCAGAAAGCGTTGCTTTTAGTTTGAAATAGCAAAAGAACATCATGAAGATCTACATGATATTTAAGCTTCCCACCTCAGGCTGAGCTCTCAGATCTTTGATCCAGTTAAGGATGACAGCTTTGGCCTGGTCCAGGGCCTCTCGGTTTATCAGATCATGGTGATTGCTCTCATCCACCTCGGGCCAACCATCAGTCTGCATCAGTTTCTTCTGCACACAGACACTTTTATGAGCTAAGCTTAACTTTAACACTCCAATAACTTTCCTCTAATCTTTGATATGCTTTTTTTTTTTTTGGCTTGGCACCTTGTTCTCCAGCATGGATGCCCACTGCAGGATAAAGACCTGGCAGAGGGGAGACGGCCAAATGTCATCTTGGTTCCAGACGTGCTCCAGAACCTCTGATCTCTACGGGAAAAGAAAAAAAAACAAAAACACAAAAAGAGAAATTATAATCAAGGCCAGCTTAAAACAATGATGTCTATGGCAGCTTTGCTGTTGGACATAAAACGAGGTTCATATTCTTTCATCTTTGTAAAAAAAAAAAAAAAAAAAAGGCAAAAACCTTTGATTGGAATTTGTCCTAAAATGTGTCCTGATATTTTCTAATGTTATTGAGTGAATTGCTAGATTGCTAGGTGGTGCTAAAAAAAAAAAAAAAAAAAAAAGGAAAAAAGAAAAATCCTAAATGGATAAAAAGGTTCCAGGAAGTTCAGTACAAATAACATTTTAACAGCTTGTTTCCTTGCAAAAGTTAGCATTTTCCTTTGATCAAGTATAAGCCATAAATGTATTTCAATAAAATTTTATGTGATAAACAAGAACAAGACGGTTTCTGAACATTTTTACAAACAGATGCATATG